ATTGGATGGTGAAGATGACCTGGTCAGGTAAATCTGTGCAATCTGGCATTTAGTGTATCTAGATTCAAGGGTGCCAAACAATTTTAGCAGACCAAGGGATAACAACCCTGTTTACAAAAAACAAAAAAAAGATAAATTATATGTATTGCCTGACCTCCTGTTTCATGTGTCATATTGTAAGAATAGTACTTCTTTCCATTAATAATTTTCTCCCTTGCCCGCGTACTACTGTTTTTTTAAGATTTTGTAGTATCAAAAGTTTGTAGTTTGACAAAACTCAATGTATTTGAGCACCGATAGACTTTTGACTGTTAGAGATCAGCATTGTGAATGATATCCAGATAGTTTGACCAACAGAAGCAGGTCATTAGTGTCTTATTTCTGCTGCTTGAACATTTGGATTAAGTAAATATGTATAGTTTTCACAGTTGCTGTGATTGACAGACTTTAGATATTATAATTTACTTCGTAAGTATTTATATTTTATATTTTATGTAATTACAGTATGATGTGAGATTTTTATTTTGATATGAGGCAGAGAATGTGATATCTCATCTCTAGGGACAGTCAATTATAAGTGTGAAGCTAAGGCTACACTCTAAAAAATAAACAAGGATTTCGAGTACTTAAAAATGAACATGTGTTGTTTCCAATGACATAACTTCAAAATCTCTGTAATGTGCTTTTAAGAAAGACAAAAGCTGGACGATGAAGAATAAAAAAGACTAACTATGAAAAGTCTTCAAACTGTGTTTCCCTCCCTCACTTATATGCTACCTTCATTCAATTAAATCAGTAGCCAAACAATCAAGGTTGCCCAATTCTGTGACTTTTCAATAAAGTTATTAGACAACTTTTTGGACATATAAAATTTGAAAATGGGGCTTAAAACTCTAAAACAACAATGACATACAAAACTTAGTCATTTTCCTTAACTTCCCTGATCCAGGTTGCATGGCCACCCAGTTGAAACACAAAGAAAGCGTGGAGAATTTCTTGACACATATTTCAGCTTCAGAACTACTTTCTTAAACATATCTACATATAAAATAACAAATAAGATAAACAATAAAAGCAATTAAAATTTGACCTGAATGTTGCTACTGTGGTTGTGGAGCAGTGTTTTCCTGAATTGTCTCAGGTGTAGCCTGTAATTGTCTAGAGGAATGTTTCACACCTGCTCGCCTTGAACGAGATTTGCTTGCCAACACATCTCTCACCAGTGAATGCACTTCCATAGGCGGGACTCCCATTGTTATCAATTCAATGATAATTCTAATAAAGTAAAACAGACAAATTTATTACAAATTTGTTCATTCAAAGAGAGTAATTGCATCCCATAGAGGGTTGTGCTTACTTCATAGTGTTGCCTGGCGCCTTGATACCAGCCAAATCTGCCAATGTCTTTAATGCATCAATATCTGCTGGGTCAGCTAGTGAAAAAAGTACTGGAGCATTTCCATCCTCGGAGCGCGAAGTTGCCATTTCGGTACCTATAACTAGAAAAGAAAAAACAGGATATTAAGCGGATAACACCAACAATAACAACAGTGACAGTGACAGGTTAGACATCCACTTAAAAATTTACCTGCACACGATAGGAATCAGCCGATTAAGAGACTCCACCAGATAAAAGATCGTTGTTATTTCCTAGTTGAATGATAATTCGCGAGGACGAATTCAAGAATAGCTCAATAAAACTTCACAACACCCAACCACTTTGAATATTACCTCCAAAATACCTCCTGTTCACACACTGCCTTGCAGTACATGGCAGACAAACACTCTGTTCGGTTGCAGTTGTGACACCCTGCAAGCACTAAATGTTGAGTTGTCACACCTGCATCATTTGCTGCTTGTCGTAAGAAAAATTTAGCTGTCTGTTTTCTGCTCTCTGGCTCTCTCTCGACACGGCCGCTCTCCTCACTGTTTATGGTTTATGTATATATGTCCACCTCATCTGAAACGAGATAGCCCTTGAGGACCAGGTAACTATACTGTAAGTTTAATTCTAGAACTATTCAGTTTTATTTTTCTCGCTAACGCGTGAGGGCAACATCTGAACAGTTAGCATGTAACCTTTATGTCCTGTGTGGTGTACACAATATAATTTTTGTTCTATTTAATCGTTGTTCTCTTGGTTTTGATCAAAAAAGTATATTAAAAAGTTTCTTTAAGTATGTTGATATTATTTTTATTTTTTTCAAAAGTATTTGGTCTTTTCAACACTCTCCTAAAGCATTTGTCTCAGCTGTACTCAGTTCTCTTTCCTCAGTTGCTAAACTTGACATTTATTATAGTTTTATTGTGCATGTCATTGAGAACCATAACTATCAGTAATCTTATCGTTTCTATTATGTTCTTATTGCCGCAGTAACATGTCAGATGCAGAGCAACAAACAGATGAACAAGAAGTTCTTATGTCAATTTACGATGGAGATCCATCTTTCAAGCAATTGTCACCTACAGTCTATCAGTACAAAGTAAGGTTATTAATATTATCAATTGCTCTTAATAATCTATGTTGGTTCAATATGGAATGTATCACGAATCATAATGTGTTCCCAACAGTACGGCGAAGATGGCGCTTCAAGATCATTTGTCATAGAAATTTCGTGGGGTCCAACATATCCTACTGAGAAACCAGCCATTAACATGGAAACATTTTACAATAGAAATTTGTAAGCTGTCCATTTTCTCAAACTAACATAATGTTGTTAAAATTATTGTCTGCTGTCATTTGTTGTTGCTCATTCTAACTCTTGTGTTCAGACTTCCACCTGTGAAAGAAGCAATAGTTAAACACACAGAATCAGAAGCTGAAGAATATTTAGGAATGCCTATGACTTTTACAATCTTTGAATCTATCAAAGAAAAGTTGGACGATCTTTTGAAGGAACAGCCCGAATCATTGCAGTCAGTTACTGCATCAATGGAAAGGGTTCAACTTGGAGCATGCAGCCTAGTAAGTTGTCACTTTGTCAACCACATAACCCATTGATTTTTTTAATTTTTAGAGTTTTGAATTAGCGTCAGTCTTTATTTAAAATATCTGTGAATTTCTGTAGGAGACAGAAAAGAAAGAAAAGAAAGAGCAGCTGACCAAGGCCCAAAAACGAAGACAGTGGGATAGGGCAACAGATTCTAAAGGACAAAAAGCAAGAGGTTGGGACTGGGTTGATGTTGTAAAACACTTATCTCAGACACCAAGGCCAGAGACTGGAGGGACCTAAGTAATTTACATTTGAAGGTACTTTATCATCTGCTTTTAGGTCTTGCAATTTTTAAAATCATTGTTTTATTTAATATCACTATTTTTCTTGTGTTTCAGATATTTTCCCCTATTTCTACTATCCATTCCCTGCAGGACAGGCTATTTTATGAAATTACAGTGGTGTGGTGTTCTGGTAATATACAAATTTTAAAGTTTCTATTTGCTGTATTTTTTGTAAAAAAAAGAGGAAAAAACAACAAAAAATGCAAACAATACAAAAAAAAAAAGTAAAAGCGAATTTTCTACATCATTTTTTTTTCCTTTAAGATGGTTTAACAATTTTGTGTGAAGAACTGAGGCTTTGACTTTGCAGTCTCTGTTAGTGAGGCACTCACAATTTATTATACAAACATCATCATTAGGTAGGCTGTCGCTGTGATCCATGTAGGCCTATTTTCTTCTCTGGAGTGGGCCAAATGAATCGCCATTCATTGCAGTCTAAATGATGCCCACTTGTTGCCCATCCTGTGGAGGGAGACATTAGAACTAATATGCTGGACCTATTTTATTAGTTTTCAGTTTTCAGATATTTACTGACCTGCTTCTTGAAGTAAATTTAGAAACTGTTCTGATTCTGTAGCATCAATTTGAATAGAAGCCATAATAGCATTGATGAATGATATTTGTGGAATAGAATGTTCAAGTCCAGACGACTCGCTGTGCAAGAAATCAGATGGAGTAGAACTACATGAAGATTTCAAGGCTTCTTCTAGTCTTTGGAGCAGAGGACCCTCTTTGGGAGACAAGGGTTTGGTTACCTGGAAAGAAAAAAAAATCGTTTCTATGGAACTTGCTTAAATTTCTAAAAGATTATGACTGTTTGCAATGCATACCAATTTTGCTCCATCTTTGGTCATACAGGTAGCAATTCCTAGGATTACAGAGTGAAAATATGATTTCACTATTTCCCTAGAATTAGCATGAATTCCTTCTTGAAGTAGAATGTAAATCTTTTTGTCTCTTCTAGAAGGAACTAACATGTAACCACATCCCTGGTGTAAGTGATGGAGAACTTTCAGTTGATCAGCTGTCAGAGCAGCAGAGCGAATAAATGTTGCTACAGATTCTCCAATTACTATATCATGACCACAGATACTCTTTGCTATATTGAAAGGAAATATATTACTGTACACCAGTTACTTGAAAAATCATGACATAAGGCAAAGCAGAGCAGTGTTAGTACCAGACAGTCCTTTCCCAAGAATGACAGCTTCTTTCTGATTTACAGTATCTGGATCTAGAACTACACCCGTCTCCAGGTAGGTATGAATCACAATATTGAGTCGGGCAGTGTTGAGGGTTGATATTGTCAAGGCTTTCACAGCTCTATAATTTGCATATATATGCATGGATGTGAAAATGGCAAACATAAGCCATACGTGCCTGGAATTAAAATGTGAAACATGAAAACACTACCATGAGAGCAGTGCAAAGGAAAACAGGAAAACATGTACTGCTCTCATTACTGAAACTCTCCCATGCAGGTCAAGAGTATTATTCCAGCCACAGATGCCAAGAGATTTACACAGGTTTCCTGACTTCCATCCTTTGCAGAAACATCTGCCATGTTGTCTCGAATAGCCTGGTCATTTATGAAAAAAAATAAATGATTCTGTATTTTTAGGAAATGCATTTAAATGTGGACGTGTAAAAGAATTACCTGGTGTTGAGTAAGAGCAGCTCTTGTCGCTCCACCTGCGACTCCAACAATACTCTTTAGGATTGTAGCCGCACACAATAAAGCAGTGGAGTAGCCCATGAAATAGGGCAGTAACAATTCTAAAAACATTGCAAAGTCATTTAAGATGTCAGCACATAAGCGCCACTTCTTGCAGTTTGCATCTAAACTTGTGCCTTTCCACCATGCAAACACAATCCTCCCAACATTTCCAGCCCCATCCTTTAGAATCCATGTGACAGCAGCTGCGAGTGGTGTTGCTGCCTGGTCACCAACACCAACTCCTTTCATAATAGCCTGAGTAGTAAGTGTACCGTTCAAGGAACTGCATAATGCCTGGTAGAGAAATGAAATTGATGCATATGCCAAGATTCTAAAGCAAATTATAAAAAAAATAATGGGGAAATGTAATATAAATGGACAAACCTGAATAGTATCCCAAAGCTGGTACGAAAAGTAATCTTTGCTCACACTTTCAGGATATCCTTGTGGCAGAAATACTACGCGGAATATATTTTTAAAACTGCCAAGAACCAAGCTCGCAATACTCTGAGAATATATGGAGTTGAGTGGGACAATTACTCTTTGATCTAAAGCGGGAATAAAAATCTACTATAAATATCAAACAAAAGATTATTGTTTTAAAAAACATTAATTCCATCTGTTTGCTTTCCGGACCAACCTGGAGGTTTAATGTAAACAACCTCTTGTCCCTGTGTACCATAATGTTCACGAAATATAATTTGGTGCGGCATTATGACAGACGTGGAGAAAATAATTAAAATTGCTGGTCATTTATTTATCATAAACAACAGAACGATATATTGTTCGAAAAAAAAGGACATAGAATGAGAAAACACAACAAAGTGACGTTTCACAAGCAGCCGAACAGCCGGCTGTGTACGGTGCCAATAGCCACCTAAACGTTATTCAGAGTAGGGAATGTTTTCTTTTTGAGAGCGGGAAGCAGTTTAAAAGTAAGGTTATGAAATAGTGAGTAAAATTGTTTGGCTTGATGATAAGAAGTAGATTGAAGTGAGAAACTACATTAATAGCTAAATGTTAGTGATCTTAAAGAAGAAATTCATCAAGACTGAGCGATGAAACGTTCAAAAACTACGGTACTTCAGTTTGTATCTCAATAATTCTACAGAGTACTCTATGCTAGCTGTTCACTCACCTCTCTTGATGTCCTACAGGCCAAACCCAGTCCGAATCAAAGAAGTATAGCTTCATTCTTTACCACTCCATCCACCATTTCTAAGGAGAAAGCTGCAAGGGATAATTTTAAAAATGACTCTACCCCTACCAGTTCAAGAAATGTTCGTTCTCCCTCAGATGTACCTTTGACATCCAGGGGGAAATCAAATCTGCATGATGATCATTCAAGCTCATTGTCTAGTACTCCTTCTAAAAAAAGGAAGAGAGAAGACTCGAAAGTGGAAGGGAGTTTAGGTGCTACTGCTGCACCTCCCTCTGCTTCTGAAAAGGGCAGTCCTATTAAAAACAACAAAAAACTTTTACTTGTTAATGGCTTGTCTGTCAGCAAGTCGAAGACTAGAACTCAATCTACCACTCCTCACAAAACAGAATCTATAATTCTACAGGGAAAAAAATCTCACTCTCCTGAAAAAGTTTGCTACAGTCTTAACCATCTTAAATCTCCAAAACAAAGGACTAGTATTCAACCTCAGAAAGACAGTAACAAAGCCCATAAATCAAAAATAGTGTTGTCTCCAATTAAAGCAGAGGAGGATGAGGTTCTTAAAAGCATTTTGGAACATCTATCTCCGCATGAGTCTGATTCAAGAATGTTTGCTCGGCCTAAAAATTCTTTTAGTGTTCACAAGAAAACCCTGTTTCCACCCTTAAAGTCTGCGAGTCCCAAGAAAACACTTCATGAAGATGAAAAGCTTACCTGCAAATTAGAAGCAAAAAAAAGTTGTAAGTCTCCGGGAAAACTGGATACCACAGAAGTAAAGTACCCTGCCCTCCAGTTTGCACCAAAAGATGTTCTCGGTAGTGCTCCTACTTGTAAAACTTCTCCACCAAAGCAATCCGTCAAGAAAACATCACCTAGCAAGGCACTACATTGCCTGTCTCCAGTGAGAAAGTCTCCAAGAAAGCATCCCCCTCCCTTGGCTTTAGTTAAGGTACCATTTATTTGTACAAATTATACAAAGACTTTCTTTTGAATAATTGTTGAAAAAATTTAGAAAATTTTACAACAAAACATGCTTTTTAATACTGTAATTATTTTCTCTTTACAGGAGAAAAAAGAAACTGAAGAGGCAAAAGATTTTCCTTTAAAATCCCCGGAGCAAACCAAGAATGCTGGTAAGGAAAATGAAGTTATGCCCCTCCGAAGATCACCTAGAAAACATCCTTCAACTTGCTATGATGCTAAATCTCCTGTAAAATCCGAGGTACACATTTGCTCATTTTCTCAAATAAATCTTTTGCGTCTATTTTCAGTTAAATTTTATCGGAAGCTATACTGTGTCTTGTCATAAATTAATCTAAGTTGTATATTGTATCTTAGAGTTTAATTTATTTATTTCAGTCTCAAAATAAAACTGATATAGTTGTTGATAATCTTCAAGACCTGCATGCGGTGTTTCATGAAGACTTTGATGACATATTTTCATACATGTCTAATTTGTAAGTCTTGACAGTATATTTTATCATAATTTCCTCTCTGATTGGGATCTTTACATGCCTCTTGTTATATTTCAGAAATGAAGATAGTATAAATTCTTTAGACCTTCATGATGCTAAGTTGTGCGAAGTTATTTCAATTACTATTGTAATTCCTTTCAAGGAAGCTGTCTTAAATGTGAAAAATATTGGAAGCGAGCTAAAAGCCTCTTGTAGGGTCCGAGGTTGCTGGTGAGAACTACAAAATTTATTGTTTCATAAACTTTTTTTTTCTCAACTGTATACCTAAAAAGAATCTTGATATATTTTTTAGGTTGGCATGTCCAGTTTCGGAGGGTGATTCAGTTGGCCTGCAGGCTAAGAAAGTTGATGGAGAATGGTTGCTGAATGATTTGCATGGCTTCTTGGTCTTACATCCAGACACTTTGATATCTGGAACAACTGTTGTTGGTTCATTGTTTTGTGCGCGTCGCTCTGTTCTCAGCAGTCTTTTCAGAGGGATGGACAGTGATTCAGCTGTAATGGTTACTGGAAGCATAATCCATGAACTTTTTCAAATGGTTGGTTGTGCTACCCTTGTGAAATAAACTTTACAGTCCTATCAATTGTCTAATTTTCCTGATAAAAATTTTAAGGTGCTGAAACAAAGAAAGCGTCGTGAGGTTGACATAAGAGAACTTGCAGATCAACTAATTTCTTCCAAGGGTTGTTTACAAATGCTTTATTCTGCGAAAATGAGTGTTGCCCAGATTCAGAAAGAACTTTCAAACTTTGTACCTCGTATTGTTGCTTTTGTTGAAAAATTTATTGAGCCAGTTAAAGAGAAGGGTGGGAAAACCAGGTTTGTCTTAATCTGATCTTCTTAGAGCAGCGTAATTGTGGATTAATTAACTTCCCCTTCCCTTCTAGTTCTTGGCTTGGTGCGCCCTTACCCTCTTCGTCAAAGAATTCTCCTATGAATTCAGGTAGAAAACATGCATCAACAGAATGGAATGGTAAAATTGTTGGAATTCGTGATATTGAAGAAACTTTGTGGGATCCAAAATTGGGAATTAAAGGAATGGTGGATGTCTCTGTTGATGTAAGAGATTCACATGGGAACAAAAAGGTAGAATTATAAGAACATTTTTTTCCTTTTAACTAGTGACTATGGCTATTTATCTGGGGATTTCTCACTCTTTAGATAATGCCGTTGGAATTGAAAACAGGAAGAGCTTCATTTTCTGCAGAACATCGTGGACAAGTTACACTGTACACAATGATGATGTCACGGATGGGAATGGAAGTTGATTCAGGCTTACTTCTCTATCTCCGGTGAGTTGCCTTATCTTTGTACTCAAAATTGTAATAATGAAAATGAAGTACATATTACTTACTCTTCTGAGAAAATGTTCCCTTTTTTTAGAGAAGGACAGATGCAGGAAATATCTGTATCTCATAATGAACGCAAAGATCTCATCCAGCTTCGAAATACATTAGCCCATTACCTTAGACGCAGAATTCCTGTGATAGATGAAAAATCTGGTCATTTTGTCCCCCCTAGCCTTCCGGAACCGATTAGTTTCAAGAGTGCATGTGAGAAGTGTCCTTATGGAGTCCTATGCTCTGTTTATTTGAAGTAAGCAATTTAGTCTGCAGGAAAGCTTCTTTTAATACCTGTGTGCAAAATATTTGTTCTGTTCTTACCCATCTTGATTGAAATTTTTTAACTTTTAGGCGGAATGGACTTTCAGAACTTTCCAAAGACCATCCAATGGTCTCGGTTTCTGCATCTGCGACACAACATCTTACCGAAAATCATGTTGATTTTGTCATGCATTGGGCAGGTTTGCTTCTTTTAGAAAGCACAGATCAGCTGTCCTCATCAAAATTGAGATACATTTGGCGATATTCACCCATAGAGAGGCATGTCCTTGTAAATGCAAATTTACTTTTTAATCTAATCTGTGGTACTTAGTGTTTGAGATTTATTTTCAGGGAGAGGGGTAAACAAGCCATTGTGAATCTTCAGTTAATGAAAGCCAATGAACTTAGTGGAGGAAAGTTTGTTCACACATTTACCAGAAAGCTCTCATCATTCACTGAAGTCTTAGCAAATGACTTAAGAGAGGCTGGTTTATCTACTGGTGATTATATATTAATCAGCACTGACACACGTTTGGCAATTGAGCGGGGTAATATTGTTGGCATAGATGAATCCAGTGTGACAGTTGTGTCCAATAGGTAAAGTTAATTGTATTAAAAGAAATTAAGCTTTTCTGAGTAATCAACATTTCCTATATCTTAACAAACTTTTTCCACTAGAAATTTGTGTGATCGCTACTCCCATGAAACATTTCACCTCGATTCTAGTGAATCTGACACTGTTTTGGTATTCAACCTAACGAATTTAGGTTGCTTGTTGGATAACAATGAGCCTGCTGCAAGACTAAGAGAAATTATAGTAGATAGGTAGGAGGAAATTTTATTTTTGTGTTTAGGTCTTTCCTTTTGCAATTGCTATTCACCCCTTGTAGCACCAAACATTCAGACAACGTTCTGAGAACGTTCCTTTGGTTCTCTGAAGGTTCTAAGAACGATATGTGCTACAAGGGACGGTTACTGTGTTTGTCACACAAGTGTCACAGAGTGTATTCAATTTGCTTACATTTGAACACACTTCTTGACACTTGAGTGACATAATCATTTACCTCCAATGGCAAACACACCAATTGTGAGGTCACCTTAACACTTCTTGCATATTTGTAAAGATTGCTTCCTTTTTGTAGCTAATGTGTAAAATATTGTTTTTTTAGGACCATTCCAACATTCACTACCAGAGTTGAAAAAAACATTATTCAAGACTGTTTGTCAATTTTCAGTAAACTAAACAAAAATCAGCGGAATGCATTGGTGAAAACTTTGAGAGCTGACAGCCATCTTCTCATCAAAGGGCTACCCGGAACTGGTAAATTATTTTGCTATTATTTAATGTGCCTCTTGTATTTTACCTGGCAATTTGCGGCTACCGTTCGTCCATATCAAGAAATTTGAGAAAAGCAGGTAGAGTTGATAATAACGCGTGAATTCGAAAACCCCGCGCCAGTCGAGCCAGTCCCAGCAGTAGTCATGTGGTGATGCATAGTTCTGGTTTTGTGTATCGTTTTTGTCGTGTTATTTTTTTTAATTTAGAAAAGAAGAACTAGTTAAGAAAGGTTTCCCTTCTGATCTGTATATTTTGGCAAGTTTCTTGTGCGCGCATCGCACTAAAGTAGTTTGCAAGTTTTCAAATGTTGGCTACATCGAGGGGCGGTGGCGGTGTCCGACTTTCAATTGTTTCCGAAATCGATCTAGTATTTTATAAACATCATCGTTTTTAGGGTAATTTCTTGTTATAATGGCCGAATTGTTACTTGACCCTGATATTCGTGTGTGGGTCTTTTTGCCTATCGTTGTTATTACCTTCCTTGTTGGTATAGTTCGACATTATGTCTCAATATTGCTGGCTACTCAAAAGCGAGCTGAATTGCAGCAACTTCAAGATTCGCAGGTTAGTTTACCTTTTCGGCATTTTGGTCTTTTTCTTCCCAAATATATTTGTTATAAATATATCAATTGAATTTAATTGTACTGATTTTGACCTACCTATTGTGTCTTGTTAAAATTTTCATATTTTATACATTTTTACACAATTTTTAAGTATGTTGTACCACAATGATTTTATTGGCACAATTGATAAATTTAATAAGCTTCCCTTGCTTTTTCAAGTATTTCTTTTTATAAAGATTTTGTTCTGTATCCATTAAAAAATTTTCAATACATTGCAGGTAATGATACGGGCCCGTTTGCTGCGCGAGAATGGACATTACCTACCTCGGTCATCATTTATTATGCGACGTCATTTTTTCAACAATGAAGAAACGGGCTACTTCAAAACACAGAAGAGAGCAGCTGTCTCCCAAAATCCTATGACTGACCCAAGCATGATGACTGAAATGTTAAAAGGAAACATTACAACTGTTTTACCCATGATTATAATAGGAGGCTGGATTAACTGGACTTTCTCAGGCTTTGTCACCACTAAAGTTCCCTTTCCTTTAACTCTAAGATTTAAACCCATGCTTCAAAGGGGTATTGAACTTGTTTCTCTAGATGCAGCTTGGGTCTCCTCTGCGAGTTGGTACTTCTTGAATGTGTTTGGTCTTAGAAGTATCTACACTTTAGTGCTTGGCGAAAATAATGCTGCTGATCAATCACAACATCTGCAAGATCAAATGTCTGGTGCTGCAATGGCCATGCCACCAGACCCAAAAGTGGCATTTAAAGCCGAATGGGAGGCACTTGAAATCTGTGAGCATAGATGGGCATTAGAAAATATTGAAGGTGTACTAGTAGGCAATCCAAGTCCTGCTATTGAACAGGCTAGTTGATAATAGGGTGTCATTATGTACATATGCTGCATTGACTCATTCCATTCTGCATTTGAGTCTCTAGGAGAATTTGTGCATTTCATGCACCCTGTTATGCATTAAATTATTTTATTGTTTTTGGAGGAATTTTGTATGCCTAAGGCTTCCATTGTGAGTTGTGCCTTATGTATTATCATATAAGAATTCCTTTAGTGTGCAATTGTGTCTAAGTTCTGCTGAAGCAGATATGGTTGATTTGTGTGTTCCTACTGATTTTCCAATGTGAAAGCTTTATTGTAATACTGTGTTGACTTGTCCTTCTTTATCTGATGAATGGGTGTGATTTGTTGTGTAGTTTCTGTACACTCTGTCTTCTTGTTACCATTGGAACCATAAAGCATAATAAATATATTAATGATTGAAAATATGTCCATTTAATAAAATAATGTTTTTTAAAAAATGACCATCGTACACTACAGTGCAAAATCCTACATAGGTAACAACTGTTCTCACTGATCCAGTAATAAATACTAAAAGTGGAGGGTAAAATGTTTTCTACCCATGAAGTATTCTGAAGTATCTTTCTCTATACATTCTTTGAAAAACCCTTCATGACATATTATGTATATTGTTAATCTTTGCTACTAGGATAAACTGTGCTACAAAATTACTTGTTCCCTATTATTGATTTAAGCTCTGGGGAACTGAAGCCACCCCGTCATTTGTTTGCAGTAAACTAATCGTCCGAATGAGAACTGAAGCCAGCTCCAAACTAATTTTAGCCAATCAGATTACCCAAAGCAAATGATGGGGCGGCTTCTGCTTCATCGGCTAGACCAAGACTGAATCGATCATGACTCCATTAATCTCTGACCATAGATTTCTTCTAACAGGTAAGACAGCGACAATGGTGGCCTTGGTACAACTTTTAGTTCGTGCAGGCCTTTCTGTCCTAGTCACAAGCCATACTCACTCTGCAGTTGACAATCTCTTGCTACGTCTGAAAAAGGAAGGCCTTAAGTTTTTACGTCTGGGAGCGGACGAACGTATACACCCTCAGCTCCACCCCTTTTCAGAAAATTATTTAACTAAAGAATGCAGAACACCTGAAGAACTGGACCAAGTGTTCACTAGTCAGGTATTTATTATTTAAGTGTAATAATTTTCTGCTGTCTTATAATCTATATTACTCTATCACACTCTGATACTTTATCACATCTTTACAACCTCAGCAAATTGTTGGTGTCACCTGTCTAGGAGCAGGGCATGCTAGTCTTGCGCAAAGAAGAATTTTTGATGTTTGCCTAGTTGATGAAAGCACGCAAGTTCTTCAACCCTCTATTCTCCGACCATTATTTAGTGCTCGTCGGTTTGTGCTAGTCGGAGATCCAGAACAACTTCCTCCTGTGGTGAAGAGTCATCAAGCGCAGTAATGTCCTATCCTATCTGTACTGTTTTATTAAAATACATGAATGTATATTATCGATCTTATAACTTTATGTTCTTTGTTCGAATCTAGAAAACTAGGCATGTCAGAAAGTTTGTTTGCTCGCTTGGATTCTGAAGCATCAACTGTCTCTTTGACATTAAACTACCGAATGAACCAAGTCATCACAGATTTAGCAAATGGGCTCACTTATGAAGGCAAACTCTTATGTGGCAACGAAATGATAGCAAATGCAACATTACAAGTGACTTCACCAATGGTTTGTTTAATTCCTTTTTCCATGGGTAGGTGCATTCTATTGTAATTGAAGAATAATTATCAAAATCATTTTCAATTCCAGTCTTATAAGAAACTTTGGCTGTCATATTCATTATCGACTGACATTAATAAGTCAGTGGTGTTTGTGAACACCAGTACAGCGCAAGGCAACCTCAAGGATATAAATGGAGCTAAGACTGATGGAGAATCTTCATGCTGCAATCATTTTGAGCAGGTTCTAGTTCTGGAGCTATTAAATACCTTTGTTGATGTTAGTAGTCAATTTTTTAAGAAATTGTGATGTGTTGGGTTTTATTTTTCTTGTCATACTGTGCACTAATACTATTTTTCTTTCATTCAGAGTGGTGTAGATGTGGAAAATATTGGTGTTATGGCTCCTTACCGTGCTCAAGTTTCTATGTTGACTCAAGCTATCAAGTCAAACCCAAAACTTGCTGCTATTGAAGTTAACACTGTTGACCAATTTCAAGGGCGGGACAAGGAAGCAATTGTATATTCTTGCACCAGGTCTGATGGAGCATCTCATCAAAAACCTAAGGTATGTAATTTCTTCTTTGGCATTGGTAGAGTATACCGCAGTATATATTTTTTGTGATACAGTAATTGTTATTCTATCTACCTTTAACAGGACAGAGAAATCCTAAATGACAAGAGACGCCTTACCGTTGCTATAACAAGAGCCAAGCATAAATTAGTTTTAATTGGACATTGTGATACTCTAAAATTATATACTCCTTTCCAGAAACTTATATCCTGCATACCAAGCAGCAATCTTGTTCCTGTTGATTCCTAAATTTCAGAATTAAGTTCCTATTTTACTTTTTGGTACTATTTTAGCTAAGGACTCTTAGGTTATTTTTATAAATAATATGGTTGAAGTATGTCAAATGCTGATGCTGTTTTGAAAAATTCATTTATTTTATTCACATGATACATATAATTTTATCAACACACAACGTGAAGGTCTTCATCAAAATCGTTTTCCAACATCTATCACTCCCACGCGTTCCATCCACATATATCTCTGAATGTCATAACATCATAGATAACAATATTGAATATGGTCAACTAATCTATTCAACTTAAAATTTTTGGTACCTGACTACCTGAAAAGAATTTTCATGATCTTTGGAATAGATGAAAACATTTTTTTCCCGTCCATGGTCTTACAAAGTTACTTTGCAATCTGTACTATTTGAGCTCTTTGAAAAAGTTACTTTTAAGACGTGTAGTAGTAAATTGGTGCCTCATAAATTATCAAACATCCAGCTCTCCATTTGAAAATAAGACGATATACTCCAGATGTGATATCTCTCAGTCATATATAGGCCGCATGAGATAATCATTGAATGAAAGGGTAACAGCGCTGGTCTATTCACTTTTATGAACAATCCTAGGTAAATGGCAGTGAGTGATTTTGATTTACAGGTACAAATGAAATAGGAAATTGAACACTTGTTTGAAATTACTAATTATACACAACAGTTTTAACTACTCAAGAGTATCTCATCCCAACTCGTATCACGTTATGCTTGTAATGGCAGTGAAATAATATTATACACATATTTCCACAATAGATGCCAAAATTTAAATTATCTACTGTTATTATCTACTGTTAAGATAGGAAGGAAATTTTTGACAAAAGTTTCATATTGAATTGTAGCTACTTTTGGATAAAACTGACCATACCACTACCAGAAATTCCACTTCCTGTAACAAATATCAGTTTTTCTCAATTTTCTTCATGCCTGGTTTGGCCTAAAATGAATCAGAAAAATTTATCCCACGGTATGGTTGTACCACGGTTCGTAGTCATAGATTTTTAAGTAAGGAATTGAGTTAAAAAGTTTTTTTCTCAACAGTAATTGATCCTCCTCTGTCATCAGTCTAACTACCTCAAATTGGAAAGTTTTATGAGCCTGTATTTTTTTCTAATATGGATACATTTCATATAATGGAACTAATAATAAGATTCAATTTTATAAATTTTATATCAATGTTGAATTAACTTTTGTACCAAACTGCTTACTCCGTTTGGTACATCCCACCTTCAAGATTTCCCTTTGATAGATACCTAGGTATAAAAATCACAGGAAACAAATTGCTGACTTGTTCCAGTGTATAAACAACAGTAAGGCAAATATTTAATATAAATGTTTTATAAAACTCCTATTCTAACCAGCAACAAGTTTTCTAAATTATTTTAAGTTTGTGCTGATGATCACAACATATAATTTAAATAATCTCATAAAATCCAGAATTGGAAGCCTATCATAATATCGACATTTTCTTGTCATACCTATTAGGGTAGTTGACATCTGAGACAAAATTTCACAGGAACAAATTGAAAGATTATAAACAGAGCAAGATTCTCTAAGAATATGATTAAAAACTTAAACATTGGAAATATTTTGATTCAAAATTAAATTGTAACTTTATACAAGCACTAACAACTTTGACCCTGGTAGCACAGATCATTCTGAGAACATTCTAGGAATGTTGTAAGATTGCTCAGTGCTACAAGGGTAGGCATCTTATTGAAGTATTTAAAAACTTTCTGTAAAGTTCCACAAACAACTTGAAAATCTTGTTTATCATTGTAACATTTACTCATGACCGTCATCAAATTTGAAAATGTATCATGCCTCAATTTTAACAAAAGACTTCCATTGATTATCACTAGATTATAGTATGACCCTGTATATTTGTTTCACTTTTACTATATACATTAAATTTTTGGTCGATTAACAGCACCAGTGTTGAATGCTGTGCGTTATTAATTTAAAATCCTAGAGCTGTAAAATTGTGAAGACAGTCGGCACAACCTCAAATGCATGTTTTTTTCCCATTCTTGCTAATATGCTGTCTGATGGTAAGTGTCTATTTCTATGGATTCTACGGATACCTGCGTCTGTGTCTCCACACCCATTCACACCCCTGCCTCTTTGATCACATTTTAATTTCAAAATATGTAAAATAAATCACTCAAGTTGATGTGAGAGCAATATTTCATAAAGGGTGCATGAATTAACAAGTGCAATCAAATTCCTCAAGTACTTTGTTTAAAAAATAACTTGGTAGAAGATGGTTGGAGGCAGATGTGCTATGCCTACACCAGGCAGAAGCCTTGGAGGCGGGTGGTGCCACAGCCGCGGTCGGGGGAGCCGCTCACACAGTGGTGACGCGGTCTACCTCGACGTATCGCGTAGAATCCTGCGAATGTCAGCAAATCACTTCTTTTGAGTCGAGCGACGGCGCCTCCTGGAGGTGGCGCTGAAGCGAGTCTCGTCGGCCCCGGCCACGCCGCCGCCGTCCCGCGCGCGCCACCACCACGCAGCAGGCCGTCGTCGCCGCCGCCATGAAGGCTGTGCCTGCAACAGAGCGGGGGATGAAATCTGTCGGGCCGAAACCACATGTACTGCGCACGATCCCTTGGAGCTGCCTCTTTCAGACTCTCACCGACGAGTAGGTGCAGTACGGGTAGCTGCAGCACGACCCAGCAGTGGGTGGCGGCCTCGTCGTAGCCGGACGGGCAGTGCGAGGTGCCGTCGCACCACAGTGAGGCGTTGATGCACGCGTCTAGCTCCGGGCAGCGGTGGTGGCACAGCTCCAGGGCCTCCAGCGACACGCCCACCGAGGGTGGCTCCAGCGGCCTGTACAGACGACCGCCACCGTCATAACCACGCCCCCCTCCCTTCCGCCAAGGGATGCTCACAGAGCATGACAGCAGGGCTCACCTGCGCGACAACTCCAGCCAGCTGACGGAGTACGAGCCGGGCTCCTTGCCGCTGAACTCGATGACTACGCTGCGGGATGCGTCGTCCGACCCGGGAAACGGAGGTTCTCCTGACACAACCCAGCCCTCCGACACGACCTGAGCGTACCAACCAAGAAATCACGTCACTGGACTGGACAAATTTTGAATAGTACGGCCCAAACTTTTGCTCTACGGATCTCTCATTGAAAATATACATTGATTCCAAATAGAACTATGGGTGTCCTGGGTGTGCACACACGTGTGCTACGGACAGCACGCACCTCGACCTGCTGCGAGCCGTAGCCCCAGCGGGGCTCTGGGCACACGACGACGTGGCTGCTCTTGCCGGCGTGCAGCCCGACGCGGTTCGTGGTGGCGCAGGACGTGGTGTCGTTGGGGTGCATGACCACGCCGCGCACCGTCACGTAGAGGTAGCGGCCGGCGGCCGGCTCGACGAGCCAGGGCAGCCCGTCGCAGGCGGTGGGCGTCGGGATGGCGTTGCCCGGCCCCACCTGGATGCTGCCCGACGGCCCCGCCAGCCGCCGCGGCCGCGGGCACGGCTCCTGCCGCACCGACATCCACGCCCCCATCATGTTGATCTTGCGGAAGTCGTCGGCCGCGTCCATGTTGAGCGCCGTGAAGTGGATCTCCACCACGGGGGAGGTCGAGATGAACGTGTACGGCATCATCTCGCCTGGCGACAGAGGCGGGCGTTTGTTAGGTCAACTGGTCGGGATGCAGCCCACAGACAGACATTCAATGAGCGAACGTTCCCCTTTTTATCCCCCAAATGAGTGACCCATGCCGGGTGCAAAGCTACTGCGGCTTACGCTGCAAGCCACTGCTAGCGCCTGCAACCCTGTGGGTAGGCCGGCCCGCAAAGCACCTATGTGGAGCGGGCGGCCCGCACAGGCCGCCTCCAGGGGCCCATGCCCCCCTGTTTGTAGCTACAGCCGACAGTGCCCGAGTCAGCCTAAACTGAACCGTCTATAGACGAATTCATTACTTCCGGCAATGCTAGAATATCAACCAGAGGTAAACTGCGCTGAGAACTAAAGCGAAAACGAAAGATACCAATGCCTCTCCGAAGCTGTCGCCTTGTCCAAGAAGCGCTCGGAGGGACAGGGGGCCGCGGGCGCGGGGGCCCGATTCATGAAAGAATTGCCTACCCTCCAGGCGTTTTCAGCGAC